AGGCTGGAGTGCAGTGGTGTCATTATAGCTCACTGCAGTCTCGACGTCCTAGGTCAAGTGATCCTCCCACCTTAGTCCCTCGAGTAGCTGGGACCCAGGTGTGCACCACTATGCCCATCTATTTTTTAAACATTTTTTTCCTTTTTTTTCAAGTTTTAAGTTTGGGGTCCACGTGCAGTATGTGCAGATTTCTTACATAGGTAAACGTGTGCCATGGTGGTTTGCTGCAGAGATCATCCCATCATCCAGGCATTAAGCCCAGCAACCATTAGCTATTCTTCCTGATGCCCTCCCTCCCCCATCCCCCACAGGCTCCCAGTGTGTGTTGTTCTTTGCCATGTGTCCATGCATTCTCATCAATCAGCTCCCACTTATAAGTGAGAACATGCAGTGTTTGGTTTTCTGTCCCTGTGTTAGTTTACTGAGAATAATGGCCTCCAGCTCCATCCATGTTCCTGCAAAGCACATGATCTCATTCCTTTTTATGATTGCATAGTATTCCAGGTACCACATTTTCTTTAGTCAGTCTATCACTTATGGGCATTTAGGTTGATTCCATGTATTTGTTATTGTGAATAGTGCTGCAATGAACATGTATGTGCATGCATCTTTATAACAGAATGATTTATATTCCTTTGGGTATATGCCTACTAATGGGATTTCTGGGTCAAATGGTATTTCTGCCTCTAGGTCTTTGAGGAATCACCACACTGTCTTCCACAATAGCTGAACTAATTTACACTCCCGCCAACAGTGTAAAAGTGTTACTTTTTCTCTACAACCTCACCAGCATCTGTTTTTTGACTTTTACTAATAGCCAATCTGAGTGGTGTGAGATGGTATCTCATGGTGGTTTTGATTTGCATTTCTCTAATGATCAGTGATGTTGAGCTTTTTTCATATGTTTATTGGCCACATGTATGTCTTCTTTTGAGAAGAGTCTGTTCAAGTCCTTTGCCCACTTTTTAATGGAGTTGTTTTTTCCTTGTAAATTTGTTTAAGTTCCTTGTCGATTTCATAGAGATGGAGTCTTACGGTATTGCCTAGGCTGGTCTTGCACTCCTGGGCTCAAGCAGTCCTCCTGCCTTGGCTGCCCAAGGTGCTGGGATTATATAAAGGTGTGAGCCACCATGCCCGGCAAGGTTAGAATACTTTTAAAATATTTTCTTGCAAAATCTTGTAACAATTATCAGATTTTCAAATAATGAGTTATTTTAAGAGTGAATACATAAGGAAAATTTGGGATTGAGGAAGAAACAGAGAAGTATTAAGTAGTATTAAGTATTAAGAAGTGAAAGATTGTCCAGTTGTGGTGGCTCATGCCTATAATCCCAGCACTTTGGGAGGTTGAGGCAGATGGATCACTTGAGGTCAGGAGTTTGAGAACCAGCCTGGCCAACAAGGTGAAACCCCATCTCTGCTAAAAATGCAAAAATTAGTTGGGTGTGGTGGTGCACACCTGTAATCCCAGCTACTCGGGAGGCTGAGGTAGAAGAATCACTTGAACCTGGAGGTAGAGGTTGCTGTGAGCTGAGATCACACCCTGCACTCCAACCTGGGCAACAGAGCAAGTCTTAAAAACAACAATAACAATAGCAACAGCAAGAACAAAAAACAAAACAACAAAACAGAAAAAGAAGTGAACAATTAACTAAACAATTCTTGCTGTTCTTCTCCATTAATGATCTATTTCAGAAGATTCTGTTGCTGTATGATTGGACAGGGTTGCAGAGACCACTGCAGGCACGCGTGCAAATGCTTTAGCCAGATGTAATAACTGTGTATTTAGAGCAGCTATCCCTTTGGAGGGCTACCTTCTTGGTTTCTCTGTTCTCACTTCTAGCTACACCATTGCTGTAGCAGCCACCATTGCCATGCTGCTAGAAGTGGCTCTTCGTTGCAGCCTTACAACCTTTCTTTCCCAACTTCTGCAGACTGGCCAGGGAGGCTTCAGTGGGACATGCTGCCTTCCTTCAGAACCAGCAGAATCATCAAGTCCCAGATGTTAGGGCATGTGCTCAGCAGAGATGTGAGAAACCGAAGGTAGAAGGTTCTTGTCCCACTACCTCAGGATAGCTGGGAAAAGCCCCAAAGAAGCCAGACCTGGCTAAGAAACTTCTCAACTGACTGAGTTCTTTACATGGGTAATCAGGGGATCCCAGATTATCAGTGTGCTAAGAGAAAATTTTATTAAGAATTTAAACAGATCTGGTAGAGAAAAGGGGCCTTGCCTTTTGAGTATAACCTCCAATTCATTTCTTCAAATTTAACTCAAATGTGACAGTTCAATTACATTTGTAAAACTTGTTTAATATTTTAAATACATACCATGCATACACATGCATATGCATATGCAAAATAGTTTCTTCATATGAAGACCCAATTCAGACATGTCTGTTGCTATTATATGATGGAATATTTAGCCAGTCAATGGTTGTTGGGAATTTAGTCCATTTCCATTTTTCACTACTATGAATAGCATGGTTATGATTATATATGAATTTGGGGATGGCATTTAGCTGGACTGCTGCTGAGAGTCACATCCAGGGTTTCCTAGAGGCAGACTGCCATGTCACTTAGGAGCTTAGGGCATATCTGTAGTTTGTGATAGTACTATATTCTTCCGATATTTCTGTGATTCAGTAACCTATTGATTCAACAAAGACATACTAAACATTTTCTCTAGGCCTTGCTCTAAAAATACCAAGGTAAATATACAGAATGTGTTCTCTGCTCCTCAGGAGCTGACAATCAAATTTTGTGACTTCTTACACGTGTCTCAAAAAGAAAAAGCCATTGGTATATGATTATTCCTGCATGAGTGAATACACTTGAATTTTAATGCTACATTCAACTCAAATGTAGTAAGCAACTTTTAAATGTTAAGTTCTGTGTTGTGAATGAAAGATATAAGAAAAAAGCCCAAATAAGTTTGCCATTGTTAGGCACTCATAGTCTAGCAGTTAACAGTAATAGTTAAGCAAATACTTACAGATAGCTCAAGCAAGTTACGTACAAAGGACAGTGATTCTATTTGATCTGGGCACTGGAGGATGCAACAAGCAAGAGATGATGGACAGGAGGTAATGCTGTTGATTGGGTTCATGTCATTCCTGGCAAAGAATGGTACTGGCAAGAGTTGGGAGCAACAAAGTGTATGTCCCTCAGGGAATGAAAGGCAATTTGGTGATGCAAGACCTTGAAGGAAGGTCTCCCAACATGCATTTCAAGTTTCTAGAGGCCCTGAGATCAAAAGCCCCTGCCCTTACCTGCTGGGCCATGGCTCGGATGCGCCAGTACTCGGCCTCGGCACTTGGGGAGGAGGATGGGGCCGCCACCCGCACCTGGCAGCCTTCCCCGCTGAAGCTCTCTGTGCCGCTGTGGAAGCAGCCCAGCAGGTCCTGGGGAGAAATAGCAGATGCTTACTGAGTGCATCCTGGTTCATGGGCCAGGCCCAGTCTTGGATCTGAGATCGTTACTGTGTCTGAGATAAAAGTACTGACCCAGCAACTTCTTTCTCACCCTCTGCAAGATCTAAAGTGAGGCTGCCTGCTCAGAGGAGGCAGAACCCATGTGCCCAACATGATAAGGGATCAGGAGCTAAAGACGGTTAGAACTGCTCCAGGGAGGGCTTCCTCCCAGTGATGTACCTTCACTGGCTTGAGTGTGGCAGAGAACGCATCTTGCAGGGCACAGCAGGCAAGCCTCCACATCTCCTCAGTGAACACAGGGCCCGCTGTCACAAGGACGTATCTGCCAAAAGAAACAAGTTGTTGTTGTTGGTTTTTTGTTTGAGACGGAGTTTTGCTCTTGTTGCCCAGGCTGGAGTGCAATGGCATGATCTTGGCTCACTGCAACCTCCACCTCCTGGGTACAAGCAATTCTCCTGTCTCAGCCTCCTGAGTAGCTGGGATTACAGGCATGTGCCTCCATGCCTGGCTAATTTTATATTTTTAGTAGAGACGGGGTTTCTCCATGTTGGTCAGGCTGGTCTTGAACTCCCAACCTCAGGTGATCCACCCACCTTGGCCTCCCAAAGTGTTGGGATTACAGGTGTGGGCCACTGCACCCGGCCACATAGGAGTCTTGAATTCCATTTTGTTGCCACAAAATTTAGGCCATATGGACTCATGCATAGGTTTATTCTGCAGCTCCCTGCCAAGTCTCCCTATCTCAACCGTCCAGTATTCCATTGTCAAAATACTACTTCCTAAACCATTTTAATATAGAAATATCAATGGATCCCCTCTACAAATAGGCCAATCATTAAGCATAGACTTGTATGCAAGACTGTATATATTCTGTAGTGATTTTTGGATTCTAGTTCCATTTTCCATCACTCCTCTACAACTAACAAGCAAAACCAAACCCCAAACTCTTATTGTCACTTACAACTCTAATCTCAATACTATTTTGTTCTTCTGCTTGGAAAGCCCCCACCTCCCCCATGCCTGTCCACCTTAGAGGAAGTGACCAGTGTCACTGCTACAACGAGGTCTTTGCTTCACTGTCACCATTTTTCATGTGACTCACTCTCCCATGTGCCTGGCTTATTTCACTTAGCATAATAACCTCTAGTTCCCTCTATGTTGTTGTAAATGACAGAATCCCCCCCCAACTTTTTTTTTTTGAGATGGAATCTTGCTCGGTCGCCCAGGCTGGAGTGCAGTGGTGCCACCTCGTCTTACTGCAACCTCTGCCTCCCTGGTTCAAGCAATTCTCCTGCCTCAGTCTCCTGAGTAGCTGGGATTACAGGTGCCCACCACCACGCCCAGCTAATTTTTGTCTTTTTAGTAGAGACAGGGTTTCACCATATTGGCCAGGCTAGTCTCGAACTCCTGACCTTGTGATCTGCCCGCCTTGGCCTCCCAAAGTGCTGAGAATTCCATTCTTTTTTATGGCTGAATAGTACTCCGTTGTGTGTATGTACCACATTTCCTTTATGCATTCATCTACTGATGGACACAGATATGGTTTGGCTGTGTCCCCACCAAATCTCATCTTGAATTCCCATGTGTTGTGGGAGGGACCCAGTGAGAGGTAACTGAATCATGGGGCCGGGTCTTCCCCATGCTGTTACAGGGAGTAAGTCTCATGAGATCTGATGGTTATAATGAGTTTTCTCTGAGCCAGGGGTATAGTTCTAGTCCAAGTCTGAAAGCCTGAGAAGTGGGAGATGTAAGTATGGTCCAGGGGCAGGAGAATACTGATGTTCCAGCTCAAACAGTCAGGCAGGCAAAGTACCCTCTTACTTGGCCTTTTTGTTCTATTCAGGTCTTCAACTGATTGGACAAGGCCCAGCCACATTACGGAGGGCCATCTGCTTTGCTGTCTCCACCAATTCGAATGTTCTTCTTATCCAGAAACACACCCACAATAATGTTTGGCCAAATGTCTGGGTACCCTGTGGCCCTGAGCAAGCTCTCTCTTTGCTTGCCACTATCCATGTAAGATGTGACTTGCTCCTCCTTGCCTTCCACCATGATTGTGAGGCCTACCCAGCCACGTGGAACTGTAAGTCCATTAAACCCGTTTTTCTTCCCAGTCTTGGGTGTATCTTTATCAGCAGCACATGAAAATGGACTAATACTGACACTTAGGTTGCTTCCAAATTTTGACTATTGTGAACATGGGAGTGCAGCTATCTCTTCGATATGATTATTTCCTTTATTTTGAGTATATACCCAGCAGTGGGATTGCTGATCATATGATAGCTCTATTTTTAGTTTGAGGAGCCTCCAAACTGTTCTCCATAGTGGTTGTACTAATTTACATTCCCACCAACAGTGTACGAGGGTTCCCTTTTCTCCACATCCTCTCCAGTATTTGTTATTACCTGTCTTTTGGATAAGCTATTTTAGCTGGCATGAGATGACATCTCATTGTACATTCAATTTGCATTTCTCTTATGATCACTGATGCTGAGCACCTTTCCATATACCTGTTTGCCTTTTGTATGTCTTCTTTTGAGAAACTGAATCAGAATACTTTGTATAATGTCTTACACAATACACATTTGCTGACTGAACACTGAAATGAAGAATTATTAGCACACAGTCATTTTTAATTACAAAAGTCTACTTACAGAAAGCAATTCAAAAAAGCTGATTCCTACCACAAAGACAATTTAATTTCCTTAGATTTTTAAATAACTCCAGCTTTGTGGAGAGTCAGGAAAGCTTTTTCTCACCTAATACAGGAGCAGCCCACTCTGGAGATGGTTTCAGTGGGCTTGGCCACACAGGCGACCAGCAGCTCGAAGAGGTCCTTCAGCATGGTATTGATCATGCTCTCGTACCTGATGTCTATGGGAAACAGCAAAATCACAGTTTCACACAGGTCTAGTGTAAAGGGATAGATTGAAATGGCCATCTACAGCAACAGAGGAAAGTCTGAATGATAAGCAAATATCTGGGAGAAAGAAATAGAACAATGAGAAAAATGGCCATATCCTCCTCCAACCCCCCACCCCCCAAAAAAAACCCAGTAAAACAATAATTTTCTTGGATTTTTACCCAATTTCAGCATGTTTCATCCACTTCTAGAGAAATAAAAATGAAATATGCAGTTCACTTTTATGTGTTGCTATATCAGAGTCTCACACTGTGCAAAGCAATGGCCTGGCCAGGGACATGTGGCTACCCTTAGGGATATGGTTACCAGTTACCACCTACATGTAGAAAAACTCACTTGTTTTCTTTTGCAATTCGTGTTCTTTTTATGCAGGGTAAATTGTCCTTGCTAAACTTAATAGAGACACAGTTTCTTTTATTAGCTTTGTTACTCTCCCCTGGGGTCAACATCCTCCTTAGTTTCTCTGTCCTCTCCAGCAAGGGGACCTCCTCCCTTACACCATGATATGCCAGTCCTTTGAGTTATAAGCTCTGCGGGTAGCAGCAATGTTTCTTCTGCTCCCAGACACCCAGATCTTCACACATGTGGCTCCATTGGGACCACAGTGAACACATTCCCTGCCTCTAGGTCCCTCTCCATCTGCTGACTTCAGCATACTGTCCATCCTACACTTTCACAGCCTTTACAAAGTGCCATCAATATTAAGAAATTTCTCTTCATCCCTAGCCTGTTAAGCTACTTCTTGCCCACAGTGGAAGCCTTTTCTAAAACCCTGCCTCCTCCATTTAGCCTCCCCAGATGAAGCAGGGTGACAGGATAATACCCCCTAATCCCCCACAGTCTACAGGGATATTGCTTCTTTTTTATTTATTATATACTTGAATTTGCCTCCCTTCTCCTAATGCACAGGTACCCCAGACCTCTTATTTGGCACTTTGTTTTCCACCACACATATATTTTGAGCATTTGGTTTGAAAATTTTGTAGAAGACACATGGGTATGAATTTTCTCTTTGAAAATCTATTAGAAGGCTGACACTGACCATGTTGTTCTATTTTAATAATTCCCAGGGCAAAAACCCTGCATTAGTATTTGCATCAGGTATTTACTATGCCGTTTTAGCTGACGGTGCTGTCTACCAAAGAAATACCCAGAATGAACTGCTCTGGCACTTCAGATACCTGAATGTAGAAAGCTTTGAATGTGCTCCACCACCAGCTCACAGGACAGACCAATAGCATGCTTGAAATTGGCAGAGGCCACATCCCAGTAGGAATGGTCTTTATGGCTACGGCGGAGCCAAAGGGACATCACAGGAAGCAGGAGGTGAACCACTGCATAGATGCCAAACCCTGGTCCTGAAAAAGAAAAGTCAGCATAGCAACAACCTGTAATAAAAGGGAAGCTCTTTGCCTCCACCTGGCATTGTTGCTCTCTTTTGAAGGATCCCTACATTTGCTGAGAAAGTGCAGGGAAAAAGAATTTACTGCTGATGGGGGAATACATGGTCTTCAGTGGCATTTTTCCTTTTTGTTTCTGCAGGGTTTTAGTTATGTGAGCAATATGTGAATATACTCCTAAAACATTCAAAAATATTGCTGGTAAAGCTAAAATATCACCTGCTCAACTCCTAGGACCCAAATGTAAACACACAAATACACATGTGTGTATAAGAAAATACCCTTTGAAATCATATATTTATGAAATCTAACTACATGGGGAAATACAGAGTTTATTTTTATTTTATATAAATAAGATAATGTAAACTTTGGTCTGCATACTCATTTTTTTTTTTTTTACTTAACAATAGTGTTATAGCTGGCCACAGTAGTGCATGCCTGTAATCTCACCTACTCTGCAGGCTGAGTCATGAGGATTGCTTAATTAAGCCCAGTAGTTTAAGACTAGCTTGGGTAACATTGTGAAATCCCTTCTCCTAAAAAAAAAAAAAAAAAAAAAATTAGCTGGGCATTGTAGAGTGCTGGTAGCCTCGGCAACTTGGGAGGCTGAGATGGAAGGATCGCTCGAGCCCAGGAATTTGAGACTGCAGTGAGCTATGATCACACCACCTCCTTCAGCCAAGACCTCCATTTCAAAGAAAACCCCAAAAGTGTTAGAGATTATTCTTTGTCAGCAAATTTGGATATTCCTCACTTTTATTGCCACATACTATTTCTGTTGTATTTACATACAGCAGTTTACTGATCCATTTCCTTACTGATGAACATTTAAGGTATTTCTAATTTTTTGTTTTATAGACTACGCTATAATGAAAATCATTGTGCTTCTTTGTTCAACATCATGGAAATGTTGATGAATTTTTGAAGTTATGATGACAAAAGCAAAGCATCCATTTTATAATAAATATGGAAATTACATGAGAATACAAAAGGAAAAACTCATCTAGAGATAATCACATTTTGATGTATTTCCTTTTAGGACTTTTTGAAAGCATGTGTGTTTGTATTTATAATTGCATAAAATTTCATATAGTTGAGACTGCACTCCATAGTATGTGCATTTTAATATAATGCTTTGTAAGTAATTATTCACATCATTAAATATTATTCACAAATATTAATTTTAATGCCTGCAGAATATTTACCACAATTAACCGCTTCCCAATTAGGGTGTTCATAATTTTTTTGGCATTCAAGATGTTTCAGCAAACATCTTATATATACAATTTTATCTTTATTATTGATAATTTCCTTAGATGACAGGCTCCTAGGGACAGAAGTGGATTAAATGCTCTTCACACACATTTAGTGGCAATCAATGTGAAAGCAGAAAATGGTACTGATGAGTAAAACAGATTTAGAAATAGTAGTTTGCAATTCTATAAAATACCTACTTACTCTTTGATGGAAGGCTTTTGACTTTTTAACATGTGGGAGTATGTATGGTTTTTTTGTTAAATAATATAAACTTTGCTATAGATTTTGAAACAGTATCAATTATCAAGTCTTCATTATAGTGAGTACAGACCTCTTAGTATGAAAGTGGCTTCATTTAGGGTCTGATTGTTAGTAAAATACTTAAATTTCTATAAAAAAGGTTTTTTTTATCTTGAGAAATTGGGATGAATAAATGTATATACTAAAACTGATTAATTCACAACAAGAAATAAATTCCTAAAAGTCATGCTTTTCTTATACTCTCAGGGGCCTTGTACTAGGTGAGCACTAAATGTCTTTTTCCAAATCTAATCACTTATGACCTTTACACAAACGGGGTGTTGCTACCTTAATACTGCATATAGTTGCAAGTGGTTTGTTTATATTACTGCAAGACCCAGTAAGCCCAACCAACAGCCCAGGGCCCAAGAGTATGTGACTGTGAGATCCTGCCTCAAAGGAAGGCTGTGACCATGGACCACAGCAAAGCCAAATGGCTCATGGAGACACTGATACTATAGCCTTGATCTGATTAACGTGGAGCTCCTGCACATCCAACTAACTGGCCACCACACAATCCTTGTAACCAGACTTCTAGGAAGACAGGTAAACAATACACAGGCCATATCTTAAACATCACTACCATTCAACAAACATTTTTTGAGCATCTCTTACGTGTGAAACTTTGTACTAAGTCTAGGAAACAGTGAAAACAGACAGACACCTGCAGAAATACCCTCGTGAAAAGAGTTATATGTATAACCACTCCTCCAAAAGACGGACATAGAAATATTTACCTGGTGTTTTGGTCACATCTCTCAACAGCTCAAAGAGTAAATCCAAAGTTGGTGGTTGGTGCTGCCGTGGACAATTGGACACAGCCGCTGTCAGCTGCTCCAGCAGGATTATCCAGACTTCTATCAGACCTGGAAACCAAAAAGCAGACCGGTATGAAATCCAGTTAGACACAATGAATAATCATCCTAAGATCCAATTAAACATTGTATGTAAACTGCCAACTGCTACACAGATGTGAGCCATCACCCAGCGTGTTAGCCTTCAGTGGCCATAGACATGAACAGATGATGATTTATGTGTTCTAACAAAGTCAAGGGGAAAAATACTCACATTTCCTCCTTCTTCCCCTTTAATAAAAAGGTGATAGGGTAAGGAAATTCTACTACGTTGAAATGGCTGTCAGGTTTCTTGGGAGCCGACAATAACAAATAAGATATCCATCCAGTTCTATCACCTTCATCTATCTTTTTTTAAAAAATGATTTTATTGTGGTAAATATGTAGAGCAGAAAAAGCCATTTTAGCCATTTCTATGAGTATAATTCAGTGGCATTCATGACAACAATGTTGTGCAACTATCACTGTTTCCAAAACGTTTTCATCTCAAACAGAAACTCCGGAGCTATAAACAGTTACTGTCCTTTCTTCCTCACTCCAGTCCCTGGTACCTCTAATGTACTATAAATTACGGTTGATTTTGAGGTGTGATAGTGGTGTCGTGCTTATGTTTGTTATCTTTAAAGAACACACACTGAAACATCTACAGATGAAATGCTATGTTGAGGATTTGCCTTAAAATATGGAGAAAGAGGAAGAGAGAGTAAAGATATACATGATCCAAGATTAGCCATAAATTGATAGTAGTTGAAGCTGCGTGATAAGTCCATTATATTATTCTGTTTAGTTCTGTATATTCTACATATGTATATCTGTATATGTATGTATTTTGTATATTCAAAATATACAAGTTTTGCATATGTTTGACATTTCCATAAGGGGGAAAATTTAATTATTTGCCTTTGAAAACCAGAGGAATAATATCTGAGAATGTATCAATGTTGAGGATTGTTTAATTTTATAAAACGAATTTAAAGCTGTTACTGATGTTTGTTCTGATTTACCATGTCTACATAATGATAACTTTAAAGTCCTTGATACATTGATCATGTAGAAAACTTAAGTGCTGGACTGAACTGTATCCCTTAGAAGATGGGGTTCCTAGAAAAAAAATCAAAGATTTGCACAAATGGGAAAAAGAATGCTCACCGTTACAGACACAACCATTTAAAACTGTTTTAAAGAATGTATTATAAACAACATAAGCTTCTGCTTATAATTATCTGGGTTTGAGGTTTAAATGCTAAAAATTGTTCTTATCTAATCATTAAACTGAAACCTCTATTAGGCAATATCTAGCCAACTTCTAATACTTTAATTGTTCTCTATATTAGATATTCTTTCCTATAATTACTCCTCACAACTAATCTGAACTTGTGAGATTTTGTTGTTTATAATCTCCATCAAAATTCTTAAATCTCTTGGCCACCCCCACAAAATTTGTAACACCAAAATAAAGCAAAACAAAAAAACCTTCCCCTCAAAACTCCTTTTATAAAAGAGTTTGAAATAACCTATACCCAGAAATTAGACCTATGTGAGGGTATGATATCCAATTCTAGATGTAGAACAGGACAGGGTCTTCTGAGACAGAAGACAGAAGGCATGAGCATGAGTTAATCCATCTGAAAATGATCCACAGTTACTAGTTTGAACTCTGATTCACAGGAGATCACATGGGACCTAATCCGAAACAAATTCTTTAAAATCATTCCTTTCATGAACCTTCAGCTTCAACAGTCACAAATAGATTCTCTCTTTAGTAATGGCTTCATTTCCCCAGTCTCTAGCCAAATAGTCCTGAAGGAAGTAATTATATAATGATTTGTTTTCTAAAAGATACTAAAAGACAATTACCAGTCAATTTAAATACCCAGGCACCAATGGAACTTCATTCCAATTTGCTAAAGTCAAGAGAATTGAGAGAAACTACGTAAGTGGAATCTGCAAATCTGCACTAGTTTTAGACAGAGGAATCCATTTTAAAAGGATGGGTATAGAGGCATCCATTGTAAAGTGATGTTTTTGGAAAGTCCATGGAAACTTTAAGCAGACTTACTGTGACAGAATTACAAAAAATAACCACAAAAGTAGATGATCATTCTTATGATCTACGCTACGGTTTGAATATTTCCCCCAAAGTTCACATGTTCATGGAAAGTGCAGTAAAAGATTATTCTGGAGTCTTACAATTTAATGTCTGCTCTGTTGTGTTTTTGGACTCACCTGGCGCATGTTACTCCTGTCTTGCCGATTTCTCCCCCTTCAGAATGTGAATGTCTATCCTATGCCTTCCTACCATTGTATTTTGGAAGCATGCAATTTGTTAATTTCACAGGCCCACAGCTGGAGAGGAATTTGCTTTGGAATGAATCATGTCTTTAGCCTCAACTGTACCTGATTTACATGAGACTCTTGAGGTGCTGCTGAAACAAGTTAAGGCTTTGGGACTATTGGGATGGAATTAATGTATTCTGCATGTGAGAAGAACCTGAATTTTGGGGGCCAGAGTGGGATGCTATGGTTTGAATGTATCCCCCAAAATTCATGTGTTGGAAACTTTATCCATAATGCAACAGTGATTATGGCAATTAGGTGATTAGCTCATGAGGGCTCTGTCCTCATGAATGGATTAATATTGTTATGAACATGAGTTAATATCTTGGGAGTGGGTTCCTGATCAAAGCATGAGTTTGGCCCCCCTTCCTCTCCCCACCACCCTGAACTCCTTGAGTGCTCTCTTGCCCTTCCTCTGTGGGATGACACAGCAAGAGGGCCCTCATCAGAGGCAAGCCCCTCAACTTTTGGCTTCTCAGTCCCAGAACTCTAAGAAATAAATCCGTTATTTATTACTCTCAAATATTCTCTTACAGAAGCGCAAAATGGACTAAGACAATTCCCAGAAGCTTAAGGTACTTCATTTATGACTTAAGCTTCTGGGAATATGAACACGGCAAATAACCTAGTTTAGTCCAATCAATGAACTTACCGGTGTCATCATCAAAATCAGACAGGACTGATTCAATTCCATCCTCACTGCTGGCTGACTGTTCCTGAAGCCTTCGAGGCAAGCTGGCAAGTCTCCCACTGAGGAATATTGGCTTCAAGGGCATTTTGTAGATTTTGGCCAATAACTAAATTTAAAAAGAAAAAAAAAACTGCAATTATATATTGGAAAAAGCTGCATTGTGGGTTTTAAAGAATAATGAAATTATACACTAGTACTAAAGGGAGATGGGAAACGGGACATTGAAAATTTGATTGTTCGTGATTTGGATTTATAAAGGTAGCTTAAAAAGAGGCATTTATCCCATGGAAGCAGATGAAATAGCATTCAATGGCAACAAAAAAGTAGAGGGAAAAAGGATCCTAGGAATAATTATTCAGCATTTTAATTACATATGCATTTTATAGATGTTTATAAACCTACCGAGGGAACCATGAAACACGTCAAGAATTTTTGCCTGTGGGAAAAAGTGTTCTGTGGGGATCACTGAGAAGACAGTCCACAGGCAAATGAGATACCAGACTCAGATTTCTCCTTCCCTTGACTCAACCTCTGAGGAAACACAGGGGCAAGAGCAGTTGGAGAAATGAAGGAGGCTGGGGCCAGGAGGGGACAGGAAGCTCTCAGAAGCAGAGCCAGCAGAGTGGCCTGGGCTCTTTATTCCCGTCTTGGGACTAGCGCCCAGGCACCCCTGAGCTCTCTGTTACTGGGACAGACTTCCAAAGACCCCTTATGTCTTCATGAATTAGAATCCTGCCATGTCCACATTGTTCAAGGAACCAGGGCTATGAGCAAACAGACAAAACTCCTGTCCTGGTGGGTCTCACCAACTACAGTCCTTTCACAAGTAATTAAATTTTAGACATAAATGCTACAGGGAAAACTAAACAGGTGGTACTAGAAATAGTGAAGGCCAGGCATGGTGGCTCACGCCTGTAATCCCAACAGTTTGGGAGGCTGAGGCCGGTGGATCACTTTTGATCTGGAGTTCGAGACCAGCCTGGACAACATGGCGAAACCCCATCTCTACTAAAGATACAAAAATTAGCCGGGTGTAGTGTTGCATGGCTGTAATCCCAGCTACTTGGGAGGCTGAGGCAGCAGAATCACTTGTGCCTGTGAGGCAGAGGTTGTAGTGAGCCGAGATTGCGCCATTGCACTCCAGCCTGGGCGACAGAGCAAGACTCTGCCAAGAAAAAAGAAGTGACCACATAGGGGGAATCTTGGCAGGAATTGGCAGATCCTCTAGCTCTGCACTCTGAGGAGGTGACATGTCAGATGAGATCTGGGAGATAAAGAGTGGCACTTAGAATCCGGGGAGAGTCCCAGTGGAGGAAGCAGAGGGGGCCCTGCGCAGCAGTGAGCAGGTGTATTTGGGGGAGGGCAGAAGCTCAGCGTGGCTGTAGCACTGTGAATGAGAGGGGAGGATGTGAAGGTGGAAAGAGAGCCGGGCAGGGGTCATATTATATGGGGCCTGGGGGAGGCAACTGGATGTAGAAGCCAGAGCTATGTGTCCCTTCTAAAGCCATGGGCTCAATGCTATCACCCAGGAAGAGGTTGTACATAGATCCCCAAAGAGGCCCAGGGACACCACCAGAGAAGACAGGTGAGAAAGTATTGACAGAGGGGTGTCACTGAAGCTTAGAGAGAAATGGCTTCAGGGAGGGGGCATGGTGTCAGGCAGAGAAGGATGGACACAATGATGGTCACTGCTCACTATGACAGTGCTGTTTTATTCTGTCTCTTTACTAAGTTTAAAAAAATTTTTTTTTGAGAGGGAGTCTTGCTCTGTCACCCAGGCCGGAGTGCAATGGCATGATCTCAGTTCACCACAACCTCCACCTCCTGGGTTGAAGCAATTCTCCTGTCTCAGCCTCCCCAGGAGCTAGGATTACAGGCGCATGCCACCACACCCAGCTGATTTTTGTATTTTTAGTAGAGACGGGATTTCACCATGTTGTCCAGGCTGTTCTTGAACTCCTGACCTCAGGTGATCTGCCCACCTCTACTAGATGATCTTGACTGAACATGTCTTTCTTTTATTAATGTCCCTCTTCACTGCTTGCACCCCTGCTCTCCACTTTTTGGTGCCCTCAGGAAGACTTCCTGTGACTTCGTGACCCCTTCCCCTAAAACCTCATGCAAATATAAAAATTCTGGTAGTTTGGGCCTCTGAGCATGAGGGAGAAGTTTCAGAGACCTCAGCATCCAATTGCGTGTTCTAGTACGTTTTCATTATTTTCTTTCCTTCACGGAAAAAGGAGGGACAAAAACGTATACTCCACAACTGTGCCCCAGTCTCCTCAGCTGGCAAAGTGTCTCTCTTGGGCTTCAGCAAAAGACCCCCACGCGTGTTTTGGGAGCATCTTCCAAGGCAGGTTTCCAGGCTCAGAGCCCAGCTGGACCATTCCCCTACCTGAGAGCAGCGCCTGAGGTAATCCAGGGCCGGGAGGCACAGGTCTGTGGACGGGGCTCCAGGTGCTGGGGCACAGTCTCCAATCTCTTTACAGTCCACTTCCCCTAGGGCCAGCATGGGGGACAGAGACCAACACTGTTACCCTTGCGGGCCCCCTTCTAACAGGAGACCTGTTTACTCACATAGCACTAGTGCACCAAATATCTACTAAAAGAGAGTGGGAGAAAAGGAGAAGAATGACTCCAAATTGCACAACCCTGAGGAAAATCCTTTCGGCCATTCTCCCGGCTGCATGTGCACATGTTAAATACAGTTGGGACCATACTCTACCTATCATTTTGTTGAGATTATATGGTTTAGTAACTCCCCCTTCCACTAAACAATCACCATCTCCTTTCTATTCTACCACAGTACTTCTAGCGGCTGGACGGTGTTCCTTTGTACACGGGCACATGGTAAATCACATTTCTGGGACCTGCTATTGGATGGAGTGACTTTTGATGACAGAGGACAATCTCAGAGACAAGTCCTGGATTGGGTTGGAATGAAGCACTTCCCTCTCTTCATTTGGGAAAGGATTTCTTTCTCTGCCAGTGCGTGGCACTAAATGGTGATGATAAATGAGGTCTCTCGGAAGAGTCTAAACATCTGGGGTTTGGGGACAGAGACTACTTAATTGCATTTACATGATTTTTCTATTTTTTGTACATATCTAGAGATTTAACATGTCTGTAGAGGGTTATCTGGGGTTTTCTATAAGAATGGTAATTGTGAATTATTTTTCTTCTTGAATCTATTTCTATACATTTAATCAGATCATTTCATGTGTTGTAATTGTTTCTAATTGTCTACAATTGTAAGAGCTAGAACCCTCCCCTGTGAGTAAACAGACATAATTACTAGGCATTAGCTAAAATTCAGAAGGAAAGAGGCATGTTTCTCCTTAAAAAAACAGAAAACACTTCTTATGTTTTCGATCAAGGGTTAGCAAACATTTTTAGCAAAGGGCCAGAGAGTAACTACTTCAGGCTTTGCAGGTCATGCTGTCTTTATTGCAACCGCTCAACTCTGCACGGTAGTATGGAAGCAGCCATCGATGAATGAACATGGCTATGTTTTAATACAACTGTACTTATAAAAACTGTGGGCCATAGCTTGCCAACTCCTGGCTTAGATGAACACATTTTATAATACAGAAACAGACCAGGTCAAATTCATGTGGAAATAAGCAGGTGGGGATTAACCATAAATTCATTTCCTACCCATGATTACAGCAGGCGTCCCAAAGGTTTAGACCGTGGCTGCTGTGTATTTGAAAGCATCCAAGTCTATGTGGATGGCACTCCCTGGAGCCAGGCAGGACACAGGCACCATGAGTATACAGGGAACTCTGCTTTTTCCACTGACCCCAGTCCCCATACAAATAACTCCACCTTATAATTCACAGAAGAAAACAGGCTGTTTTCGATGTCCTCTGTATGATGGTTTTAGATGTCAACTTGACTGGATTAGGGGAGACCCAGATCACTGGTAGAACATGATTTCTGGGTGTGTCTGTGAGGTTGGTTCTGGAAGAGGTTGGCATTTGAATCAGACTGAATAAGGGAGCTCCACCCTCACCCAATGCAGGCAGACACCATCTAATCAGCCAAGGCCCAGGGAGAACAAAAGGCAGAGCAAAAGAGAATTCTCTGTGTTTCTGTCTCTGGAGCTGGGATACCCTTCTTCTCCTGTCTTAGAACTACAGGTTCTCAGGCCTCTTGCTTTGGACTAAGAGTTACACCATCAGTGCCCCTCGTTCTGGGGCCTTTGAACTTGAACTGAGCCATGTTATCAGCTTCCTGGTTTCCAGCTTGCAGATGGTCTATCGTGGGACTTCTCAGCCTCCATAATTGTATGAATGTTCTAAGATTTCCAACCTTAGATTAGTCAATATTATATTAAATAATTGGCTTTATGCAGAAACCTATTCTCAGTGTCATATGATTAGCAGCTTGAGTTTGATTTCCCAACTTTTTAGCGAAAGTTAAGAATTCCTCCTACACCAGGCTTTAATTATAAAATATATTTTCTAAGTATAGAAGTCCCCCTTCTTGAAAGCCTCGTGTATTTCAGAAACTACCCAGATGATTTTCTACTTAATTTAGAAACACCTTAACAAAATAGATTCTGACTATACAACATGACCTGCGATAGCAGATTTTTATATAGCACAGGTTTATCTGGGGTGAAATGAAAGGGAGGGACACTTAGTTAAACCAAAAGGTTTATAAAAAAACTTAACATTTTGAGAGTTTGCATACAGTGTGATTAGACCTGGAGCCTGAGAACCTTTTACAAAGGGAAAATATAAGGTTGATATTATTTGACAATAGTTAGTATAAAATAATAAATAGATTAAAAATATGCTATAAGATACTCCATGAACACAATGAAAAGTATCAACCTTGGACAAAATTCAAGCTGCTTTCACAGTAAGTTTTTGCTTTTGAGTACACAACATCACCATCTGCTTGTATCCCAGGATGCGTGCTTGTTCCAGGCAGTCAGTGGGCCCTTTCTCCAGCCACAGAGCCACCCTGGAAAGGGTCCTCGGCAGTTACAAGGCATGAGAAGAGGGTTCTGCTTACCCAGTCCTTTGACAAACTTCATAAGGCACATGATGTAGCTAGTGGCTGCATTAGCAAAGACCTGGATGTTGTCGGTATTGAGAAAAGCTTCGAATACATCAAACACTGGAGCTTGGCCTCTTCCTAAGGGAGGAAGATTATAGAATTGTAAGAAAGTAAGTTTCTGCCCTCAGGGTTGCCAGGGTTGCCCATATTCCCAGCACCTTCCACTGAGACAGATCTTGAGAAAGATCTACTGGGGAGATGCCTGGGTTTTTTATTGGATCATTGGCTTGACTCCAGGGCGGTGCTCAGCTCTGCCAGCAGGGGAGCAGCTCGGCAGAGAGATGAGTGCCGAGCTGAGGCAATGTGCTGGTCTAAAGAGCAGGGAACCACGTGGCCTCTGGAATGCTCCTGCACAGGTATTTGTAGATTATCTACAGGACATGGCAGGGCAGGTTTAGACAGACCTTTGGTGGCATATTTGAGTTTCTTTATATCTATGCAGAAAAAGAGTACAGAAGGCCTGAGACCACCCTCCTTTTAGAAAGCTTGCTTGCAAAACTGGCCTTCAGCTGGTGTCTGGGAACTCAGCTCTCAGAGTACTCCCAGGCCACAGTTAACTGATAAGAGTAGTTCACCGTGCCTAGACTGTTCATGCAAACCATATGGTTTATGCTGAACACCTGCTTTCCTGTTGGGAGTCTGGGATTTTGGTATGTGCTAGGCAAGGGGTATATAAGTGGTCAGTCCCCAGCTAGATCTCTAATGGGCTTCCACGGGCAGAAACATTGCAAACATGTTGCTGTGTTTTCACTGCTGGGGGAAGAATGTGTTGTGCGTGATCCCTCCTGGGAGGGCGAGAGCACAGGGAGGCTGGTGCGTAGATTCCTCCAGACTCTGTCTGTATCATTCCTTTTCATAATCTGCTGTGTCCTTCCTCCATTGCTAAAACTTAGTCATGAACGGTGTAATAAATCTCAACATAACATGCTGGGTCCCATGAATCCTTCTCGTGGGTTTCTGAGTTTAGGGGTGGTTTTGGGAACCTCTGAGACAACACTCCTGGGCCCTGGGCATGCTTTGTGGGTACCCATCCATTTCCCAGCAGACTGAATCTCCCTAATTCTGGTTACTCTGTGTTATGATACTTTTCTGCTTCTTACCAGCAAATGGATAACATTTTTCTTTTTGGCTTTAGAAATGAACTCAACACAGCAATGCATAAGTGAAACAACAGAAATCTCTCAGCCTTATTGCCCAATTGTCAGCAAGAACAGGGCCTGACAATGCTCAGGGCTCTCAGCCTGCTGGCAGAACTCAGAACTCATGTTCCTGCTACACCACATTCTTTCCTGCTGATAAAACATGGCTGACAATCTGTCTTCCCTATTGTTCAACTGGTTTTTTTTTTTTTTATAGCATGAAACTTGGCACAGAGAGTTAATGCTGAATAGCAAGAATCATCCAAACATTCTTACCCATGGAGTAGTCACCAACCAGGTACTCCTTCACCTCCGACTTGTTCCCGCCGTGCACTGTTTCCAGAGCGCTGAACAAGGGTCTCCATCCGGACTGGATCTGCGTGGAACACACTTCAACCAGCTCACCAATGGATGTCACAACCTGGCAGATGCAAAGCAAGGGGCACTTAAAGTCCTCTCCTTAAAAGGAGCAGAATTTCTGGGAAGGGTGATATAGTTCTCTGTCCCCTATTTTGGAGTTAATTTTAGTGAAAAGGAAAAACCAGAATAGACAAACTCACTCAAAAATATTCTGAATAATCTGCCTTATTGTATTAATTTGCATTTCGCTAATGACTAATGCTACTAAGCAACTTTTCACATCTTATTAGTCAAATATTTTGTTGTTTTAAAAAATTGGGTTCATGTCTTCTTATTTTCTTTTTTGTTTGTTTGTATTTAGAGTTCCTTATATATTCCCAAGATATAATTTGCAAATATTTTTCCACAACTTTGGGCTTTTTAAAAGTTTTGTTTTTTAATGGTGTCTTTTGAAAATTAAAAGTTCTTAATTTTGGTGAAGTCCAATTCATCCATTTTTCTTTTAATGGATCACATCATGACCCATTTTGAACTTTTTTAAATATGGTGAGAAGTAAAGGTGTAAGTTTATTTTTATCACATACATTCAAGCACAATTTGCTGAAAATATCCCCTCCCATGATTGAATTGCAATGGTATCTTCGTCAAAAATCAATTGATTATAAACATGAGAATTTATTTCTTTACTCTTCAGAACTATAGGTCTGTCTTCAAACCAATACCACACTGTGTTGATTACTGAAATTTTGAAATCAGGTAGTGTAAATTTTCAAAATTTGTCTTCTTTTTCAAGTTTGTTTTCTCTATTATATTCTTTGCAGTTTCATATAAATTTGAGAATTACTTTGACAATGTCTTCAAAAAGGTCTACTGGGATTTTAATCAGAATTTCACTGAATCTATACATCAATTTGGGGAAATTTGCTGTTTTAAAAATATTGAGTCTTTCAATCCATGAATATGGTATATCTCATATTTATTTGAATCTTTAATTTCTCTCAGCAATGTTTTGTAGCTTTTGTGTACAGGTCTTGAGCTTCTTTTGCTAAATTTATTCATAAATATTTTATCATATTTGATGTTGTTTTGAATGGACTTGTTCTTACTTATCTTTGGATAATTTATTTCTCATATATATAAATTCAATCAATTTTAGTATGTTGATGTTGTATGCAGTGACCTTGCTCAACTAGAATTTTTTTGTAAATACCATATAATGTTCTATATATAACCGCATGTTGTCTGTGAACTAAAATAGCTTTACTTTTCATTTCAAACCTTGATGTCTTTAATTTCTTTATACAATGAGTAAAAGTTAAAGTTGAGCAGAAATAGAGAAGACAGAAATCCTTGTCTTATTACTGATCACAAGAGAAAAACACTCAGTCTTTCATCATTAAGTTGATGTTAGATGTGGGATTCTCAAAGATGCCCCTTATCTCATGGAGGAAATACCTCTAATTCCTCTTTTCTTAAAAGGTTTTGTCAAAAATGGGTGATGAATTTTGTTAAATGTTTTGTCTATATCAAGATGATCACATGGTTTTAATCTTTTATTCTACTAATTGACTTTGAGCTGTTAAACCAATCTTACATTGCTGGGATGAATTCCATATGCCACAATGTTTAATGTTCTTTCTTTATATATTACAGCATTTATTTTGCCTTTTTTTTTTTTGGTTTTTGAGACAGGGTCTCACTCTGTTGCCCAGGCTAGAATGTAGTGGCATGTGATCATGGCTCACTGCAGTCTCAACTTACTGGGTTCAAGGAATCTTCCCACCTCAGCCTCCTGAGCAGCTGGGACTACAGGCATGCATCACCATACCCAGCTATATGTATTTTTTTTTTTTTTTGTAGAGATGGGGGTCTCACTATGTTGCCCAGCATGGTCTCAAACTCCTAGACTCAAGCAAACCTTCTGCTGTGGCCTCCCAAAATGCAGGGATTATAGGTGTGAGCCACTGTGCCTGGCCAATAATTTTTAAAGGAATTTTTTGTCTAATTTCATAAAGAATATTGGTCTATAGTTTTCCTTCTTGTGGCTTTGGTATCACAGAAACGAGAACTCATAAAATGGGTTTGGAGGTATTCCTTCCTGCTTTATTTTCTGGTAGAGCTTGAGTAGGGTTGCTATTATTTCATCCTTAGTTTATAGATTCACCAGTGAAACCAACGGGCTTGGGGTACTGTGGGGAGGTTTTTTTTTTTTTTTAAATGTATGAACCTTTGCTTTATTCAATTTGTTAAACAAGAACTGATTAAATTATTTCCCCCCTCCCCATAACAGTCATGGAAAACATGTCACTTGTTTGAAAGAACAATACCATTAGTTACAAAATTTAATTGTAAGGATCAAGCAGAGGTTATTGGTCTAACCAATCCACATTGACAGCTTTGAAGTGTTCAGATGCTAGTTTTAAAATAAAGGTAACAAATACCAATCACATTCTCATATTACTGTTCAGGATCTACATAAACTTGGTTCTGGAAATAGTTCAATACACAAAGGTATGAGAATAACACTGTAATCACCGGTGATCAAACCAAGGGTGTAATTTTACAAATCACTTTTAGTAAGAATCAGTTCTAACATTTTAAAAGTCTAAATGTACATAAAACTCAAAGCAATATATTTTTCTACTTGAGACCAAAATAAGTTTCCTTTTTCCTATCTAAGCATAATTCTTTAAGATGAATCTGAATTCACATGATATACCTTGTCAAACTTTTCCAAAGAATTTTAAACCCTGCTTTAGACCCAAATTCTTACATTATGTATACATACATTTTTCTTTTATATATTTTTTCTTCAAAGACTAATGACAAGTTTATGAGGTTAACAGACCTTTAATGTGCAAACATCACCACAATCTAATTTAAAAACAATTTTACTTACCCCCTCAAAAACCTCAGTACCCATTTGCAGTAATTGCCTACTCCACCACCCCACCCTCAACCACTAATGTACTTAATGTCACTATAGATTTTCCTATTCTGACATTTCATATAAATGCAGTCATATAACATATGGTCTTTGGTGACTGGCTTTTCTCATTTAATGTAATGTTTTCAAGATTCATCCATGTTGTACATATATCAGTACTTCATTTTTATCGCTGAATAAGATTTCGTTGTGTGGACATAACCTAATTTAATGTATCTATTCATCAGCTGTTGGAATTTGAGTTGTTTCTAACTTTTTGGCTATTATGAATAATGTTACTATGAACATTTGTGTACAGGATTTGTATGGATGTTTTCATTTCTCTTGGGTACATACCTCTTGAGGAACTGCCAGACTGCAAAGCAGCCACACATTTTACCCTCTCACCAGCAGGGCATGAAGGTTCCAAGGTCTCCACCTCTCCCTCACCAACACTTGCTATTATCTCTCTTTTGAGACCGAGTCTCACTCTGTCACCTAGGCTGGCATGCAGTCGCACGATCTTGGCTCACTGCAACCTCCGCCTCCCGGGTTCAAGTGATTCTCCCACCTCAGCTTCGCGAGTAGCTGGGACTAAAGTGTGCGCCACCACACCCAGCTAATTTTTGTATTTTTAGTAGAGACAGGGTTTCACTGTGTTAGCCAGGATGGTCTTGATCTCTTGACCTCGTGATCCACCTGCCTCAGCCTCCCAACGTGCTGGGATTACAGGAGTGAGCCACCGTGCCCGGCCGCTATTATCTATCTTTTTTATCCTAGTAGATGTGAAATATTATTTCATGTGGTTTTGATTTATATTTTCTTAATGACTAATGATGCTGACCATCCTTTCATTAGTGCATATTTAATGCCATTATTGACATGGTTCTTTTTACATCTGTCATTTGCTATTTGTTTTCTGCGTATTTACATATCACGTCCTTTTTGTTCCTCTGTTCCTCTTTTACTACCTTCTTTTATGTTAAATACATTTTTTTGTGATCACTTTCATTCATGTTTATTTTTTCATCTTTTTGTGTTACTCTCTTGGTTGCTGCCCTCGGGATTATAATATGAATCTTCAATTGATCACATTTGTACCTCAAGTTAATACTGAGCAAATTCTGGCAAAATACAGCAACTTTGCTTCTACATAGCTCCATTTCCCATCCTTCCTTTCTGCTAATGTTATTTATATTACATCTTCTTGTTTAATAAATCCAACAATACAGTGTTAGAGTTATTGTGTTAAACGTTAGGTTTTTGAAATAAATTAGGAGAAAGAGAAAAATGTACATACTGTTTTATATTTGCCCACATATGTACCATTTCTTCTTATGCAATAGATTTACCAGTTTGTGTTACTTCTTTCAGCTAAAAGGAATTTAGTATTTCTTGTAGAACAGGTCTACTGGCAAGATATTCTCCCAATTTTTGTTTATCTGAGAATGTTTTTACATCATCTTCATTTTTGAAGAGTAATTTCTCTTTCATTGACAGTTTTTCTTTCAGCACTTTAAATACGTCATTACATTGTCTTCTAGCCTTCATTCTTTCTGAAGAAGTCAGCATTAGTTAATCCGAGCATTAATCCTAGCATTAGTTCCTCTGTAGTAATATAGTCTTTCTCTTGCTGCTTTTAAGGTTTTGTCATTGTCATCGAGCATTTTGACTACAATGTGTCTATTGTAGATATCTTTGTGTTGATCCTAATTGGGGTTCCACTATTTCTTTAAATATATTTTCCCATCTGTTTGTCTTTCTCCTCTCCACCTGGGACTCTCATTACAGGTATGTTGGTATGCTTGACATTGTTCTACAAATCTTTGAGGCTTTGTTTATTTTTGTTCAAACTTAGTTTTGTCTGATCTTCACAATAGATAATTTATATTAATCTATTTCCATGTTCACTGATGCTTTCTTCTGCCATCTCAAATCTTTCTGGTAAGCCCGTACAGCTAATTTTTCATTTCAGTTATTGCCCTTTTCAACTCTAAAATTTGCATTTTTATAGTTCCCATTTCTATATTTAGAATCCCTATTTTTGAGTCATTGTCGTATTTTCCCTTAATTTTTTCAAACATATTTAAAAAGTACTTTGAAGGCTCTGGCTCCCAAATATATCTGGGCTCACTCTAAGTCAGTTTCTATTCACTATTTTTCCCTCTGAGTATGTTTCACTCTTTCCTGTTTCTTTGCATCGCTCATATTTTTGAGAATTAGACATTTTAGAAAATATATTGTAGCAATGCTGGATGCTAATTTATTTTTGAGGGTTTCCCCCCACCAGACTAAGGTGCTTGGACTTAGTCTGTAGAATCTGTCTCTTCCCATGGTGCTCATGTGTCTGCTCAGTTTTTGTTCTTCATTTTTATTTTTTATCCTGACTCCCTAGTGTTCATCCCCATGTCTGCATAGCTGAGTAGTTAACTGATCATGTGGGTGGAAACTGTGCTCAAACACCTTGAGTCTTTAAGGTTCCTGCCCTCTGGCAATCAATCTGTGTGAGAAGGTTGGTCAGAATATTCAAAGTTTTTATCTCCTTTTTCTTTTACTTTTTGATGAAATCTTTACAGTCTCCCCTGTACATGCCCCAGGGATGTGTGAACAGACTATTTGGTCCCTCTATCCTATGAATCTCTGATATCCAGGATCTTAGGTTTCTTGCTAGTACACTACTGACTGCAAACCTTAGGCCAGCAAGGTTGGATTCCCCTGTTCATTTCTCCATGAATTCATCACTTTTAATTGACAAGTCAATGATCTCCCCACTCTTCTCCATACCAAGTCTGTCCCTGATTGTAGAAAAGCTAATGATTTTCTCAGTCAGCCTCACACGGGTCAAACTACTCTTCTTGCCAATAGAGCTTGGGAGTAAAGGTGATTGCTTCAGTCTTTGGCAAGAAAGTCAGACTCCCACTATTCTTCACCAAAGTTCTAGCAAACATTGTTTTTAAGAATAAATGCTACTCAATTTGTTGTCTGCTTTTGGTCAATTTCCAGACCCCTCAGATGGTTGCTTTGGACAATTCTGTCCTGTCCTGTTTTATGCTTGATTTTTGTGGGGAAGGTTAACCTAACTTCTTCAAGTCACCATAGCCAAAGCTGCTCCTGTCCTTAACCTTCCTAAACACATTTAAGCATTGTTATTTTAAAATACGTCTCTGATAACTCTGATGTCTGGGTTCCTGTGTGTGTTTATTGTTCGTTTTTTAAACTTTTGTTTTCAATGACATGTTATTTCCTCATGAGCCTGGTTATTTTTTATTGAATGCAAACATTGCACCTGCAAATCAAGAAATGATTTGAAGCTTATTATTAATGGTGCCTTCTGTCAGAAAGGCACTAGAAATCTCAGATTACCTTAATCTCATGTCAGGGATTGGGATTATTTGAAGTTGGATTTATTTTCTCTTATGACTAATCTATTTAAAGGGACATCTCTTTCTAAGATGTCCCTTTCACTTCAAGATCCTGACTCAAGATGTCAGGAAGTTACCAGACTTGGGAGGTCCCAGACTGCAACTTTGCTGAGCTTCTCCATCTTTTATTATACTGGTGCAAAAGTAATTGTGGTTTTTGCTGTGATGGCAAAAACCACAATTACTTTTGCACCAACCCAATATCTTCCTTTTTTTAAAATAGTAGATTCCATTTTAGGAAAAACAGCCTCAAATACCAGGAAGACTACTCTGGGTATTCTTTTTCTCCCCCATCTTGGCCCTGTAGTTCTTCATTGCCCTATAGTTATGTCAGTGTCTTTGAGTGATTAAATTTTTTTTTATCCAGCTTTTTTTAGTTGTTCCCTGTGGGAAAGTTGATCTGAATCACCTAGTTCACTCTTATGGGTATAAAGTCTTAGGTGTTAACCCATCTAGGTTAACTTATCTTAGATGTTAATGATCTAACCTTTAGGTGTTAACTTGTAGGTGTTAACTATCTAGGCGCTAACTATAGGTATTAACTTACCTTAAGTGTTAACAATCTAGTCTTTAGGTGTTAACTTGTATTTTCATTCCTTTATTTCCATAAACTTACTAGGCATTTTGATTTAATATTTTGCATGGAAGATACCAATATTTCAATCCAATTCTTTACAGGTCTAGTTGTACCATTGGTTGTTTTATCAGTTCTCTCCATTGCCTTGTTTTCTTGTGTGTTTTGTGAATTTTTAAAAAATACCGAGACCTCACATACCTTGAAACTTTGTTTGTGGGATTATTTTGTGGCCTGAATTGACATGAGTTGCTCTAGGGGGAATTTTGTTGCTTCTGTATGGTGCCTGTATAGTTTCTCAGACCCTGAGGTGGTGCAATTTCATACACAGATCACATAAAAGGGCTAAGCTGTAATAATAAATCCTGGAGCGCTCTTTTTAAAAAACTTTCCATTAAGAGCCAGTGTTAGAAACAAGCTGATAGTATCCTCAGGAAGTTTGTTTTAATTCAACCTTGGCCTGAGTGAACATCAAGTTTGTTTTAATTCAACCTTGGCCTGAATGAACATCAGCTTTGCAAAGTTTGCGTTGAGATTTGTTTTCTGTTTTTGTGCACTCTCGTCTGGGATGACCAGAACTTCTGCTCCACTTAATAGCAAATTCCCTCATGGTAAAACCAGCCTCAGGGCTCTGCTTACCTCTCTGGCTTCCCATTGGCACTCAGTTTTGGGGCCTCCTTACTTTCTTGTCAGTGTGTCAAGGTATTTGAAAGAAATGTTTAAACCTCTATTCAATATTTTTGGTGGATTTCAGAGAGAGAGATCCTGTATTTCTAGCCCACCATCATGTGAAATACGAAGTCTCCAGTTAGTTTCTTTACCTTGCCTTCGGTGGACAGTATGGCAGCAGTTAGGAATATAGGCCAGGTGTAAAGAGATAGGCCAGCAGATTGCCTAGGTTCAAATCGCAGCTCCACCAATCACTGATTATGTATCCTTAGTCAAATTACCTGTTTTTTTTTTTTTTTTTTTTTTTCCCTGACGGAGTCTCGCTCTGTCACTCAGGCTGGAGTGCAGTGGCGTGATTTGGGCTCACTGCAACCTCCGCCTCCCGGGTTCAAGCGATTCTCCTGCCTCAGCCTCCTGAGCAGCTGGGATTACAGGCATGTGCCACCACACTCGGCTAATTTTTGTATTTTTAGTAGAGATGAGGTTTCACCATGTTGGTCAGGCTGGCCTTGAACTCCTGACCTCATAATCTGTCTGCCTCGGCCTCCCAAAGTGCTGGGATTACAGGTGTGAGCCACCACGCCCGGCCCTGCTTAATTTCTCTGTTACAGATTCCACATAGGATTATTGGAAAGAGTAAGAGTGCAAAGCTCATAGAACCGTGCCTGCCACTGCACTCAGTAAGAGCCAGCTATGACGCTGATGACCATGTCACACTGACCTGGTCTTGGACGTCCTCATCACACAACTCCAGCTGCATAATGCGCTCGAAAGGTCGGAAGAGTGCTTCATTGAAGTGAAAATGAGGTGGCTCATTCCAGTCAGTGAGGACCTCTGTCAGTATGTCATGGATGAAGGAAACAGCCTTCTGAGACACATGTCTTTCCTTATGGCAAGCAGCCTGCAAAATTCATCAGAGAGTGGCATACCATCAGGACAGCAGACAGTGAGAATGTGGTTTCTGAAGGCCTTCCTACCCCACCTCATTACAAGGAGGGAGAAACAGCAATTCTGTTAAAATCAAAACACTCTAAGGGAGAAGTCTAAGCAAACTGCACACTAAATTGCATTTTAAACAATTTAACGAGCTTATCAGGCACAACTTCAATTTCATGTTAATGTTTCTAGAAAAAGAAAAGTTTCTTGTAATTTATTTTTCTGTAACATGACAGTTTTCTTAAATGGTACAGAACATGCTCACTATAAAGACACCAGAACCCAGACTAGGAATGGCTTATGGTTTCATCTTAGCTGTGCCCCACACGTAGGAAGATAAGATGAGTCGTCTGTTCCTCAGTGAGGTGAGGGACAAATTGCCACAGTAGCTCTAATTGGTTTACAAACCTCCTGGTATCCATGCTCTTGAGTAGTCCTTTCCCGTACTGGCCCTGGGCTTGGACGTGTGAGTTGCTTTGGCCAGTGGAACACAAACAAACATCATGTAAGAACAGAATTAAAAAGTACCTGTGATTTGGGGTTGGCCCTGTTGTTGCTCTTTGGAACCCTAAGAAAGCCATGTGAACAAGCTGGGGCTGGTCTGCTGGAGGCTAGTCTACATGAGAGACCACGAAAAGAGAGACCTATTTGTCTAGCCATCCCTGTTAAGGCCATCGTGAACCATCTGGCCCCAGACTTTGCACCAGCTGACCATAGATACACAATTAAAGCCAGTGAGATCCGCCACGCCTGGCCAACCCCAGAACTACCCAGAGAAGCCTACCTCAAATATCTGACTCATGGAATCATAAGCTAAATAAATCATGAGCTAAATAAATTTTGTATTTTTAGTAGAGATGAGGTTTCACCATGTTGGTCAGGCTGGCCTTGAACTCCTGACCTCATAATCTGTTACTGTTTTAAGCCACTAGATGTTGGGGAGGCCTTATTGTAGAGTAAAAGATAACGGACAGACTTTTTCCCCATGTCTACATTGCTATTTTCTACCCATTTTGCTTACTAGAATGTTCTCAGGTTAATAAGTTCCAAGAAGTGTTTTATGATTTATCTCTACCAGGTAAGAGCAAAAGGGCTATTAAGAATAGCTATCACTGCAAAACAGGGCAACAGTTTTCCCTGTCAACTTGGAAGTGGTCAGTCCTCATGTACTGAGATGCTTAGAGGTAGAGCTGCCATAAAACTGATCATATGAACTGCTTTCCTTTGGAGAGTGAAAGGGTCTTAGTATTAATTTTGTTAAGAAAACTAAGACATAGTGTTCCCTGACTGAAAGGACACTGTCCTGAGTATATTTAGCTATTAGAAAACAAGGACTGATAGGAACCAAAGACATTGTTATATTTATGTATACAAATAAAGCTATTAGGAACCATCCACAGTCTTTCTGTTCCAGGCTCAGGTTGATACCAGATCATAAAAAATGAAAAACTAGCTGAGTTGTACAATTGCAAAGAAAGAGGGTCAGAGTGAGACTAGGGTAGTACTGCCCTTTGGGGTGATTCTTTAGATGCCATGAAGTATAACTAGAAAACAGTGATGTTTGTGACCAGGTGATGGGCAAGTTCCCACTGCCCAGTGGCCACAGTGCTTTGTCCCCATACATGACTACAGGCCCCCGTGCTGGCTCTGCTGGTCATTGACTTAGCAGTTCCAGGCTCTTCCCACCTTTCCAGTGCTCACCTCCACCAGGTGTGGGGCCACTAGGCTCCAGCAGCGCATCACGTGCAGCAGGGGCCGTGCTTTGCTCCGCACAATCCTCAGCATGGCATCCCCCAGGCGGAACAGGTGGAGGGCGCTTTTTCGGTCTTGAGTGGATTTAACTTCTCCTACAGGAAGGCAAGAACATAAATGCCAGAAAGCCCAAACTCAGACACAGTCTGACCTATTCAAGCAAAGAGAGAGGTTGAAAATCTAGGTAGGACCAGCAGGGTAATTCGATATTGGCTAACCAAGGGAGGAGGGAGCCCTGGATTCAAGAAGGATGTGGTGGTTCACTGAGCAAGGCCTGCATCGCCCTCTCACTCAGCACTGTAGCCCTGGCAGCTGAGATGTGACAGGTGTGATCAGGAATTGATTAGAGGGAATGAGGTAGCGGTTCGGTAGGAGGGCCGAGAAGTCCGACTGTCTGGGTTCAAATCCTGGCACCATTTAGTAGTTGTGTTATATTTGGCCAAAGATTTTCCTCTTTAGGCTGGGCACGGTGGCTCACGCCTGTAATCCCAGCACTTTGGGAGGCTGAGGTGGGTGGATCACGAGGTCAGGAGATCAAGACCATCCTGGCTAACACGGTGAAACCGTCTCTACTAAAAAATATAAAAAATTCGTTGGGCACGGTGGCGGGCACCTGTAGTCCCAGCTACTTGGGAGGCTGAGGCAGGAGAATGGGGTGAACCCGGGAGGTGGAGCTTGCAGTGAGCCGAGATCGCGCCACTGCACTCCAGCCTGGGTGGCAGAGCAAGACTCCGTCTCCAAAAAATAAAAATAATAAAAAAAAGATTTTCCTCTTTAATGATCTCATCTGTAAACCTGGGGATAATACTGCCCACTCCTAAAATTGCTTTAAAGATTAAACGTGATAATACACATAAAGTGGTCAGCATGGGCCCAGCACATACTAACTGAACAACATTATTAGCTATGATTATTACTCTTGTTCCTGTCACCTTTCACTTCATCATCTACTTTGACAATCCTTAATAAACCTCTGCAGCCTTTGCCAAGCAGACCTGGTCCCTCTGCTGCTCAGTAACATGCTGTCTGGCCTGCTCTGTCTTGTTTCAGTACCATCCTTGTCTACCCTGATCTTGGGCTGCTTCTTTGCCACTGTCGCCTTCATCTTCCCCGCTCCCTTCTTGCTCATGTTCTGTTGCCTCTCCTCTACTTCCTACTGGGGATGGGACCCAGGTCTAAACACAAAATTCATTTCTGTTTCATATATACCTTACGCACAGCCTGAAGGCAATTTTTGTATCCCTTGGGGACCCTTAATAAACTGTGTGTTGTGTGCCTGCATTTTGAGCGTGGCCCGTCACATGAGGTCAGGTGTGGAACTTTCCACTTCTGGCCTTATGCCAGTGCTTAAAAAGTTTTGAATTTTGAGAATTTTGGATTTTTGGATTAGGGATACTCAACCTATAATAATCATCATGGATATTTACCCTGCATCAGACACTGTGTTGGTTCTATAAGTCTTTAATAACTTTAATTTTTAAAGCAATTATATTTCCTTTCTTTCTTTTTTTTTTTTCTTTTTTGATGGAGTCTCACTCTGTCGCCCGGGCTGGAGTGCAGTGGTGCAATCTCGGCTCACTGCAACCTCCGCCTCCCGGGTTCAAGCAATTCTCCTGTCTCAGCCTCCTGAGTAGCTGGGGCTACAGGCACACGTCATGATGCCCAGCTAATTTTTTTGTATTTTTAGTAGAGACAGGGTTTCACCATATTGGTCAGGCTGGTCTCGAACTCCTGGCCTCAGGTGATCTGCCCGCCTCGGCCTCCCAAAATGCTGGGATTATAGGCGTGAGCTGCAGCACGCAGCCTATATTTTCTTTTAAGAAGAAAATATAATTATTGCTATTTTACAGAGTAGAAAATTGAATGTCTGAAAGGTGATATGACTTGCCTCAGATGCTGTGGCTGGTAAGTGTTGGAGGCCGCATTTTATATTCCTACCTGACTGATTCCGAAGCAAGTCTCCCTCGTCCTAGATTTACCGCCTCTTCCTGGCCCCTGCTCACTGTGTGCTTTGTAAGCTCAGAGTCTACCGTTTTCTCCAATGAGAAAGACTTTGAAGGTTACCCCTGGGCTCAGAGATTCTCTGAAAGTCTGATGGGCCTGGGAGGTTGGCTTTATATTGCTCAGGTTTTAAAGTCTATTAAAAACGAGTGGGGCAACAACGGTGGCTCTCAAATCCAAATCTGCAGCAAGGATGAAAAAATCAAATATACTGCTTTTAGAACTTTAGATTCCTAAGGATGGAAGGGACCTCAGAGGTTGTGCCGTCCAACATGTCACTACGGTGCGTCCCCAGCACATGGCTCCCTGTCTCTGCCGGAACTCATTCGGGACAAGGTGCTCACTGTTTCAGGACAACCACTGGTGCTGTGGATGAACAAGTCCATCTGTGAGCAACCTGCCAACCCTCTGGGCCCCTTGGACAATTCAGTACAACTCTACTTTGTCTTCCACAACACTGGCCTTCAAGAGGGCCTCATTTATTCACCTGGCCTCACTGGACGACGCGGACACTGACCCATCATTAATGGGATATGCCTCTGAGATCAGCTTTGCAAGAGTGGTATGCAGTTTCCTTTTTCACCACCCCTTTTGGGATCAGTGGTTGTTTCTGCATATCACAAATCACCTCTGTCCAGCCAACTGGACAGAGGTGTGTGGTGTGGTTTTTGATATGCAGAAAAGTTCCACCTTCATGTGAAGGAAGCTATCTGCACCCTAAGGAGCCACACGATTTCTACCACAAGCACAAAACTTAGCAGAACAACCTAGTCCAGCTCCAGTGGGAATTCTTATAGACGTGGTAGCAGCCACGTTTCCATTCACAAAGAGTTACACCACCCCTCACACAGGGTGCCTCAAAATCCGGAGACAAATCTATACTTGGGTGTAGCTTGTGTGAGTGTAAGCAAAGGGAATGTGGAGTCAAATCTTCAGGCACGCTGCTGGTGACAGAGGCCTGGGCTGTTTCCTGCTAACCTCCTGGTATATGGTTTCTTCCGGGAAACAATTACCTGGCATTGCCAGAGAGTAATCAACTGTATCCGTGACGGAATGAAAAAGCTGAGACTGCGATGCTTTCTTCAGCTGGTAAAGAAAGCCTCCCAGGGCCATGAGGTTCAACTTATCCGTAGCATCTTCAAAGAGCCTGGATGCAAACAGAAAGAGATGTGCTCTTTGGAAACACTTCAGCAAGGTCTTTATGGCAGAATGATTATGGCAATTTTGTTGATGTGATCAGTGGAAATGTGTGTAAACACTGTAGACAAATGTATGGTATTATTATATCTATTTTAACTGTGTACAAGTCTGCTCGATGACATTTTAATTCAAAGGCACAAAGAATATATTTAAAAATATCTTTGTGCCCTCATGGTCTAGCTCAGCCATGGCAGGCTCTCATAAAATGCTTGGCAAGAAGCTGAAAGATGGCAAGGCATTGTTCCCAGAAACTGAGCAAATGGGAATGGAATCTTCAGAATTAGCTTCAATTTCATAAACGATGTCAAAAAACCCCAGTAAATTGATGAATACGTTTTGTCTGTCTATAATTTATGAGCACAATGCTGGAAGGGATACAAAAACAGCTAAGAGTGGATCCTGTAAGCCCCCCTCAGGGCAGGGACTGGCCTCATACACACCCAAACGCCTAGATGTGATGGGAACTCAAGTATCTATTTGGAAGAAAGAATGTTCCCTAATATGATGGGTCTTGCAAGTTCTTTTTCTTTTCTGCTCAGCTGGTCACAGACCTTGCCAGCAGAAAGATTTAGGAAGGTGGGGAGCACAGTAGCAGAATTTAGGGGAGGATTTGAAGGTCACTGGAATGAAGAATGGTAAAGATCAAATATCTGTTTTAAGAAGCCACAATGAGAAATGTGCCAGGTGAGCCTTCCATGGCTCTTGGGTCACCCTGGTATCTGCCTTCCAAGCCTCACGACACCACAGGGCAATCAGTGCTGTGGGGGCACCATGGGCTGCTTCAGGGAGAGGGTCGCTAATAGAAATGGAATCATGAGTCCTTTTTGAAGGAGGAAAATGAGACATGCAAGTTAAGATGGGAATTAGTGGATCAAATGTTTATAAATTATCGAAACAAACATCTTTTTCTTGCTATTTTGATACCATTTGGTTTCTGGGTCCCACTGACCATTTCTCCTCCCTCATTCCTAGTAAGAAAATAGTGATGAATACTATATTCCACCTGACACCTGTCTATTGCTTTCCAGATTCTAAAACATTTTCACAGCCAACTTGGATAAGCAGGACAAAGCAATTATGGTAGTGGGATAGTAGATGGAGAAACTGAGTCTCAGTGCAGCTATGTCTACAGATATGACCCGGCAGCTGGGGAGTGCAAAGCCAGGACAGGAACTCAGGTCAATCTGAGTCCCGGCCCAGGGAGTGCTCCTCCCACTCCCATCCCCTTCCTGATGGTCCTCCCTGTGCCCGTGCAGGGAGTCTGGGACACAGTGACCAAATGCTGAAGAGGTAAGTGAGGTGGAGCTGTGTGTGACTGGTGACCAAAAGCACTTTCTACATCAGGAAGTACCACCAAAGAGTTGAGACGATTGGTGATCTTCCCTCTTCACCTTCACATGGTTGTTGGGCATCAGTAAGTAACACATGCATGTGGGATTTTTGAAAACAGCCATAATCATAAAAATAGTGGATTTTTACCATTTGCCAAGCTCCGCTCCAGGTGCATCAAGTTACTAATTAATTTACCCTCACAACTACCCGGTGACAGAATTACTTTTAAAAAATGACCCTATTTTACCAATGGAGAAGGCCAGGCAGGGCCCAGGGAGGTGAGATTGCCTGAGATCCCAGAGTAAGTGCAGTGCTTTGACCCCAGGTGGCCTGCCTCAGACCCTCTAGGGTTAGTAGAAAACGTTTCATTCCGAGTATGGATGTAATGGTAGAGAGAACAAAGCTTGAAAAAGATGGAGGAAATTTAAGGGATTGGCTAACACATGGGTCGTCCCTGGCATGACTGAGACCAGATGGACGTGGGTGTCGCCTGGTGAGCAGGCTCCCGGCCCGTGGGAGGCCGGCGCCGCGCACCTGTCGGCCTGCGTGGAGAGGGTGAGCACCACCTTGGCGGCGCTGCTCCCGCTCATGAGGCTCCCGCCGCGGAAGTCCGAGGCCCGGCCCCGGCTGCCTTCCCGGACGAGGTCCTGGATGGACAGGGGCTGGACGATGGGGGCCGTGCTCAGGGAGCGCCCCTGCTCCGGGCTCTGCTCCGTGGGCGAGCCCTCACACTCGGGGTCCCCAAGGAGGCCAGCGCTCCCAGTGGCCTTCTGGGGCTGGCTGATGGTCAGAGGGGGCTGCAAGGCGCCATCGCTGAAGTGGTTGTGCTCCAGGGTGCCCACGTACTCACACACCCTAGAAAGAGCACAGACAAGCAGCTGTTAGACTCTGCAGCTCATCCCGGCAGCTCCATCAACCCCACAGTGCCAGACAAAGGAAATGCAGCCAGCTCTGCCAGCTCCCCAGCTTTCCTCTTTCCTGCAAGCACAGTCAGTCCTTCCCTCCCGTATTCTCATGTCACACAGCATTATTACTAGTAGTATTTGAGTTAGACCAGACAGCCTTGAAATGAGTAAAGGATTATTTGGGTTCTTCCACCCCAGGCTGGGAGAAGGACAGGTAATGAGGCCCCGTTCATCCAATCCCCCTGCCTAGTCCAGCTTACTGGCTTATCCGCCCTCCTGCTGTTTGAGCCACTTTTCCCCAGGCACCCTCTTTCCCTCTATATAGTGCTCTGATTAGGAGTTGGGAAGCATTTCCTTACGATGGGATTCCAGAATGGCCAGAGCTATGACGGACAGGCCATCCAGCCACAGTGAGTTCTGCCCAGCCACATCCTGCCTGGTCCTGATGGCACCACATAACTCAAGTCTGGGCGCAGTGGGTGGCGGCCGGGTGGAAGGGCAGTCACCGAATCATGGCAAACACAGAGAAGAGTCACCACATGTGCTACAACCGCCAACTTCTAAATGGTTTGTTCCCAACAGAACCTGAGACAAGGATGGTTCGCAAGGTCCCTCATCTCAGAGTAAGTCCGTTTACCGGTAAAGAGCGTCGTGGATAATCCACTCTGATGTTCTAGAATCAGGGAATTTTTCAATCCCTTACCCGCTGCTTGTGTACCAGGATAGCCTTTTTCTTTTTTCCTTTTTTTTTTTTTTTTCTTGTTAGAGCAATAAAGAGCAGCAGGTTAGCAGCCTTCATAATAGAACCATTTTGCTCAACAAACACTCATGGCTATATTTGCTTTGAAGACGTGAAACTGAACCCATCTCTGGCTGGTGCCCTGGGCCATCGGCCATCACCCTGGCCACTCTTGCCCCATGCCTGCTCTGCCTAGACCTGGGTTTGGAGTGAGTGTGAGGTGTGTGATGCAGAGAAGGAGAAGGCACAGTGTGGCCAGCCCCTGTCCTGTTCCATGGGCAGTGCTCCTTCCACGGTACTGGGTCTGCCCTGATGCAGCACTTGGGGAGACGTGCTTTCAGTCTTAGTTGTAAGAGGACCTGGACTCTGGAGCTATTGCTGGTTTTCATCTTACAGGCACTGTGCACTGTGTAACTCACTGGGAGCTTCTTTTCACTTTGATGCTACAATGCTTAGAGCCAAATTTTTGGTCTGTCTTTGGCAGAGGTGTACTATTTTGTTTTGTTTTGTTTCGGTCTAGCTACATTAAAAGTAGGTATCTTGTATTTTATGTATCCAAATAGGCTATCTGAAATCCTTCTTTAAGTAAAGAGGACATTGGTAAACATTTAGCAATGTAATATTGCAGAGACATGACCAGTTTTAGATTGGCACTGTATTCACTTAACTTACATAGTCATCTCAATCAATTATTTAATTGGTTTTTCTTCCTTCCTTCTCTAGTAAAAATGTCAATAGAAAAGTCACAGTTCCTGAGACCCAGTTCTGTCCCTTGTTCTTCAAAACATACATTTAGTTGGGCCCTTATTGCGTCTTTTCTTTCCATGTCTTATTTGAAGTTTAATCAAACTCTGTGAATTGTTATAATTGATTTACATGCTGGCAGGCTCTTGAGGCTACCCCTCTCCACCCCCCAGAGCCCACTCCAGGCTTCCTGAGGCAGGGTCAGTGCCATCTGGGGGTGGGAGCCCATCATGCACCTGAACACGTGTGGCCAGCAGTCCGGGTTGTGGCTTCCCATCTCCAGGCCTACGCTGAGGATGGCCTCCATGCACAAGACGTGGGCAGTGTGCAGCCACACCCCCTGCACCTTCCCAATCTGCTCCAGTTTCTGCTCCACTTTTAGTTTCACTGTGCCAGAAAGACATTTATTAAAATAACAGGTTGAGTAAGGGAGACAGAAAGGGAGAGAGAAAGAATGAAAATGAAAGAATGTGTGTCATGCAAGGGCAAAAGGGAAAGGACAGACGTCAGTGGCAGCAAGCGCCTCCACAGCAGGTCCTTGCGGACCCTCATGCAAACCACTCAGCCGGCAGGTCCCATGCGCCAGTGGCCCCAGCTCTCCAGCTCCAGAAGTGGGATGGATCCTGAGCTGGCAGGTGCCATTCCTTCCAGGCCCTTTCATGGGCTCTGGGTCAGGCACAGCAGTGCGGATGGGTTTCATGAGCCAATTCCAGGTAAAACCATCTGGGCCCAGACCTTTCACCCTTCCCAAAAATTGGTCAAATGGAAGAATTCCTGGCTTTCTGCAAGTTTTCTCTGAGATTATTGTAACGTTAGGTTCTCATTATGATCATCATCTCTAAAACAACTTATTTATGTGTATTTTGAGCACCCGAATGACTGCTCTATCACTGAAAAAGACCGATTTCATTTCATCCCTTGAGTTTGTATTTGTGAGCTCCAAATAACACTTTAAAAAATTGTAGACCGGGCGTGGTGGCTCACATCTGTAATCCCAGCAACAATGGGAGGCCGAGGCAGGCGGATCACCTGAGGTTGGGAGTT